CGGACGGCCCGAGCCGGCCCAGCGCTCACTTCTTCAGCAGCGGCCTGTCCCGGTTCTGAGGGCTCACCGGGGACTCGGCCACGCTCCAAGGGCCGGCCTGGGGGTGCGCGGGAGGCAGGGGACGGAGGGAGCCGGCCTGGGGGTGCGTGGGAGCCAGGGGACGGAGGGAGCCGGCCTGGGGGTGCGCGGGAGGCAGGGGACGGAGGGACCCGGCGCCGGCTCGCCCCCCGGCACAGATCTCGCAAGCCGGCCCCGGCGTTGAAGGGTCGTCCCCTTCGCCTGTCCCACGATCAGACGCTCGGCCCCGTGTCGCCGTCTCGTGAAGACGAGTGCCCCAGTCACAGGACGCCTCTCTGGGCCGTTTGTGGGGTCTGTTACGGCGGCTATGGGCAGGTGGCCCAGCCGGTGAGCCTCGTGGACACGCGCAGGGCCCGGGCCCTGGGGAGCTTTCCACAGTGGCTGATGGACATGGCCGCCTCTCTGGGAAGAGGGGGCGAGAAAATCGACCGACTTGCTGGGAAACCAGTGCCGTCTCCGCAGTAAAGCCCTGCCTTTTCTGCAAGGGGAAATGTAAGATATTTCAGCTGCTTTTAAATCCGGGGCAGGGAGCAGAGCCCGTATTCCGCTCGGCACATCCAAGATGAATTCACAGGCGCCCTTGCCGCGGGCTGCAAAGGTGGCGGTGGCAAGGGGAGAGAAGGCCGGGGCCGGGAGGAGCAGACGGGGGCTCAAGCAGGTGTCACCGTGCGGAGAGGCCAGGCCGCGGGTGGCCGCCGCTCCCTCTGCCCCCCCCACCCCCTCCTCGGCCAGGGGAGGTCAGTGCCAGGCGCCGCTGTTCGTTTCTAAGAGAGTAACGTTTGAGTTGCGCCCACAGTTCGAAAAGGTGGGTGCTGTGTTTAAAAGGACAGAGCACCCATGGCTGTGGGGATGCACAGCCGCCCCGGTTTCCGCTCTCTCTTGAGGTTTTGGGGCACTGTGCCCTCCCCCGCCGGGGTCTGCTGCTGTGCGATGCGGGAGGGGCCCCTGGCCCTTTGCCCTGGGCCTGGGGAGACGCAGTCAGGCTGCCCGGCCCGCTGGCGCCCCCTTCCCCCCCCCTCCCCCCCC